CCCTGGATCCTGTCGTGGCTGGACCGCGGCAGGCATCCTCTCGTCACGGGGACTTCATCGTCCTATAGACAATTTGTACGTTGGGTTGACATTTTCGTTTCTTGACCTCCTCAATTTTGATGGTTTTTTTCCCCCTCTAATCCTTTTCAGATGCTCTTCTGTGACGACAGATCACGTGACGAACAAGGACGCTCCTTCCACGAGTTCCATGTCAATCATCCCACCCCCCACCAGCTCCTCCGTGCCCCCACCTCACGAAGCCAGCACCACCACGCCTGCAACTTGTCCATCCACGGAAGCTCAGTCCACGTCCCCAGCAGCTCTGAGACTCCCAAGTTCTTAAACACGCAGGGTCGAAACCAGAGTTCAAGGTCTCAGACTTAGTCTCAATTACGGTTAAATCCATCTCCCTCTTCCCAGGGCCTCTGTTGATCTCTCTTCATGATGAGCATGGCGGACAAGTCAAAAGCTTCCGGGGGGACCTGGAGCAAAGCTCTAACGCAGCAAGGAAGTTTTCAGACTCCGTGTGTCTGGGAGACAGGCATTGCCCTGAGAGGAGGAATGACGGACGTGAGGTTTAGAAAAGACTTTATCGTGTTCAGAATTAGCAGTGGCAACGGCACACCCAGGTGGACACGTCCCGCCGACGGCAGACAAGTGATGCATCGGAGAAGGCAGAATGCCACAGCACCAGGGCTGTCAGAGGTGACAACGGAGGAAGGTGCTTAAGCCTTGGATGAGCCAATCACATCCCGGAATGGTTTTGACCAGTCTGAGCCAATCTGCTCTGAGAGGAGGTCCTATGAGCAGTGACAAGAACAATGTCATTGCCGGGCCTCTCTCCACCGTGTGGAGATGAGAGGAACTAGAAGCCCTGGCCCTCTGCGCATGCCCACGAGGGCCTCGGTGGGTGAAGCGTCCTCCTGCCCCACCTGCCATGGCCACCAGGCTCCTCTGCTGCGTGGCCCTTGGTCTCCTGGGAGTAGGTGAGGCCCCAGGAATAAAGAATCCGCATTTTTCGGTATTCCCAGTTATAATTTATGTGTTTCTTATCTTGTTCCCAAGTGCTGTCCCCTGCCACAGAGGCCACAGATGCTCAAGTGACCCAGTTACCGGGACACAAGGTGACAAAGAGAGGACAAGAAGTAACCCTGAGCTGCGAACCAATTTCTGGCCACGCTGCCCTTTACTGGTACCGACAGACCTGGGGACAGGGACTGGAGCTCCTGATTTACTTCCGTAATCAAGCTCCTGTGGACGACAAAGGAATGCCCAACGCCCGATTCTCAGCTGTGATGCCTAGTAAGTCAAACTCCACCCTGAAGATCCAGGCCACAGAACCTGAGGACTCAGCCACGTACCTCTGTGCCAGCAGCTTAGCCACAGCGCTGCAGAGTCACCCGCTCCCCGTGCAGAAACCCTCAGGCTTCCCCTTCCCGCTCCAGCCCCCGGCCGTTCTCAGCAGTCTCCAGAGCAAGGGCGTGGGCTGGTGTTTTAACAGTCCCTCGGGAAGACAACAGCACAGTACACCAACAGCATCGCATCCGGAAACTTTTCGTAGGAAGGCAATAGGCGACTGGTGTCTGTCATTCCTTGCAAATTCTCACAGACGATGGCTTAGTCCAAGATTGAGGGTCAGTGTCACCCACTGGGCTCTCAAGTGGTCAGGGAAGCTGAAACTGTGCAGCTGCTGCACGAGGGACCTCATCGAGGCTGGCTTGTCTTCAGATGGCGGCGCGTGGTCCCTCTTGCCTTGGCCCTCACCTTCCCA